CCTTGATCTGCCCCAGAAGGAGGCACAAGCCGTCAGACACAAACACAGGCCAGGCAATGCCCGTTTCCCTGCCCAAGAGAGAATGTGCTAAAAAGGTCTTTCATTCTCCTCACCTCTTTTGTGTGTGTCTTCCCTACTGTCTCCAAAAGTAGCTATGAAAACTGTCATCAGGGGCTGGCTGCTTGAAGGTAAGAGGTGTCCTTCTAACCGTGAATAAGAGTTGATGAGTAAAATGTGAATCATCATGAAGAGTTTGAATGAAGAGAGGAAGCATCACTTCAGTGAGGCAGAGAAGGTGAAATGCTGAAGATGTGTAAAGAGAAGGGTGATGCAGAAATGTGAGGGATTAAGAAACTCTCTGCAAGTAGCATCAGGAGTGGATGCAAGTGAGGTAAGTTTGCACGCATCAAATTCAGCTTTACTATAAATCAGTGAAACAGTTGCAGTTGCATACTTACTCCTCTAAGGCAGGGAAATGAGGGAGGGAGAATGGTGTGATGGGTAGGGCCATGCTCAGGGCTGACATGGTGTCACCGAGCGTGCCTCAGATCACTGCCCTTATGGGGAGGGTTAGGTATTGCGTCTTCCACTGAATTCAGCAAGTTATACATCGGGATCTTTAGACTTGGATTGAGACATTTGTGTTTTATCCAGTCCAATACATTTTTCATACTATTAGGTGCAAAAGGCATAGATCACTGGTCAATATCCTGAGCTTTCATTTATTGGCAATGCATTAAACTTGACACTTTCTTCCTCACCATGCTGTGACAAATCCTCCATTAAAACTAGTCTTGTCTTGCAACATTTACAAAACACAGACAAAACAAGACTTACCTTCTCCTCTTTCTGTGCTGCTTTGGGTATTTGTGACTACTTCACGACCTCAAGGGCATTCCTTCTGACTTCTGTCTGTCACTGACGCTCACCTTGCCCGCTAACCCAGTTTACCCATGTAGGACAGGCTCTTGCATCATTCTTTTCCAACTCAGACCTACACAAAACTGAATCAATTTGGGTTATCGCATCACAAGGCCTGTGAAAGGTGTTGCCTACAGAAAATTTTGGCAAGATTGAAGGCTTCTCCTGCTAAAGAAAAAGGTATTATGTGAAGTCTTGTTGGTTGGTTGTGGCCTGCTGCCTGAGCAGTCCTCTTGAGTTAAGTGGAATTACGTATGCATGCGAAGTCATCCAGATGTAGTGACTACAGAACTGGGATCTTCCTGGTTTCTGGCTAGTGCATGCTACTGGTTAGTAAACGTTACTCATGTTCAAGTTATGTTTAAGTGGAAGGAATGGTTGTACAATCAATCAGCACTTGAAGAGGAAGGAAACATTATACAGTATTTATTTATCTGTCACTCACAGTCTGGTGAGCATAGCAAAGTGTTGCAATTGTTGTTATTAGCAAATCTGGCTTTTACACTAATTTGAGGGTGAAGAAAAAATATTTATATAACTATAGACTGCTTGAATGGGCTTTGTCAGGGGCTTTGAAGAATCCTAATTCAAAAGCTCTCAATTTCTATGTTGAGTAAAACGGTCAAACCCCAAAATTCTTGTTCATCTGTGTTGGATCTCCATTTAAGAAACTTTTGAAGCTTGATTTCAGTGGAGTTGCATCTTAAAAATATATACATTCTGACATCAGATGGTCCCTCTACTACTCTTCAGTGTCCCCCATTACCAAATATTTGCATAAAATCAGAGCATGTTTCTAGCTTCCTGACAGATGTCAGTGAATAGCTCTGCATAATTTGCAAACTACTGTTCATGATGAAACGTTCCAAAAAGCTTATTGCTGTCTTTTATTCAGTAATGATTTATATATCATTTTATTATATACTTTGATTTGATCTCCAAACACATCAAGGAAAAGTATCCCACTTCATCCAGTCTGATAAAAAGTAAGCAAGGACGATGAACATTAAAAAGAGAAAGGAAAAGAAATGTAAGAAAACAGGACTGTCTAGATTCACAGATCAATCGCTGTGCAACTTAACATTCAAGATTATTGCAATCATTTGTTTAAATTAAATAGTGAAATAGACCATTCCCAGTGGTGGACAACCCAGTCACTCCTCTTCAATTGGTCTCTGATTTGGAGTTCATAAAAATACAAGAATTTATGTTAGTTTTTCAATTTGTAAAATCTTGTTTGTGTACAATGAAGCTAGATTTCAACTGATTTTTCTTTTCATGAGCAAGTTGGTTCCTTCTTTGAAGTAGCATACCAGTACTACCTTTTTGGAAGGACTGCCTGTGTCTGAGGCATGTGTGATTGCGTACATTTAATCAACACCACACTTGCTGTCTGATCACACTTTTTATTCCCTCAAACTATCTCCTGTGAAACATCCAAACCACAACATGTAGAAAATCAAAAGATACGTAATCCTTATCTTATTCTGCTACATGTCATTCAGTACCTTATGATATTTTCTGGTAGTTTTAGCGTTTTAGAGGGTTGCTGGGTTTTTTAAGACATCTCTGTAAGTATGATGATGCGCAGAATATTTTCCTTGGCTTATGTCTTCTTTGGTAGAGCTTTTCCTCTTCTTTCTCTTTTTTCTTTCAAACAGAGGGAACCAGACTTAACTAAGTTCAGCAGAATTGATGCTTGCTTGATCTTGGCTGCCTTCTTTGACTAATACCAAATAATTTAAGCCCTCTTGATTCTTCGTTTCTATTAGCGTGGCTGAAAGAACACTGTCCGAATCTGCACATGGAACATCACTATCTGCATTTAAAAAAAAAAAAAAGAAAACGCAACAGCCTGGTGACATACATGTAGTATTAGAAAGCAAACAAAATCAGACAGCTGTTGGAGAAAGTCGGTCTAGTGACCGCATAAAGAGTGACTGATGATTCAAACTTATTTTCTGCTCTTGCCTGTGTGGATTATCGCTTTAAGCAAATCACTTAGGGAAGGTTGGTCATCACCATTCGTACCTCCATGGGCAGCAGTACGGTTATGAATAGATGACTCGCTTCTTTTGGTAGTAAAGGTAGCCTGCATAAAGCCAAAGTGACTTTAACCTGTACGTTTGTGTAACCCTGCTAACAGTACTGCTGAAGAGTGCTGTAACATAGGCAGTTTTCTACCTAATAAAGCATTATATACTGTCTCTCTAGAGGAATTGCTATATTGTCTTTCTAGAAGCTTGAACTTGGTAATCCAGCATGTTTTGCCCATTTCTAAAAACTTTGGTTTTTTCCTAATTTGACCCTAAGTTACCTGAAATCTATTGCAGGGCATATATCTTTTAGAAAAAATGTAAAAATTATTTACTAAAGGCTCAAGTTATAATTGTTGCTATTTTTTGCATTTATTTTTGTAACATGTACCTTCTTTTCTTACACTCCCTCCCTATTTCACTTCACAACAGGAAAATTAAGCATGTGACGTTCAGAGTTCTCTGTTCAAAGGAATGGCAAGCATTGTGCCGTTGTATCAGGCAACATACAGTTTATTATGTCACTATAATTGCACTCCTCCCCAAGCTGTAAAGTCAGAAGTCTGTTCCATGTGCTAGAGTCTGTTAGGAAAGATTATCAGGAAAAATCTGAAGGAGAATTTTGATTTTAGAAACCTGTTAGCAGGATGGGGATTGGGACACAGACCAAACTGTGGTCACATACCACAGTGACTGACAGCTACGAAAAATCATTTGATACTCACTTTGTCAGTTCAGGACTATTATGGCAATATTTAGTAATTGAATCCCGACTAAGCCTTTACCAACCAGTACAGCTCTTCTTTGTATTTGGTTTTTGTTTTATAAAGCTTTTAATGGGAACCCTCGGGGGCAAGTTGCTTCGGAAAAGGCACACTGGCAAATGCTGAGGGCATGTTTGCAGCAAACTCTTAAGAGAGAAACCTTAAAATAAGGACCCAAGTAAAACTGGGTATTTACAGACCAGACATATGCCGGCTGACCCGCCTAAGTATAGAACACTAGAGGACCATTCAGATTTGTTTCCTGTATAAGTATCTGGAACTGATGAGGTGATGTTTACACAAATGTGAGTATGAGGTCACTGAGATATTTTTACCAGATATATAGATACATTACTAATTCTTTCCCCAACAGGTCTGAAGAACTACAGAATATATAAAATACTATAATCCTTTTTCAACTTATGCACCACTGTGTTTCTCATTATAGAGAAAAAGAGCTAAAAAAATTGAACACCTTGCCTTGGTCTTATTTTTTAAGCTTTGGGAACAAAATAAGCAAGAAAGACTATTTTTTGCAGAATATTCTTATCCTATCCAAAGACGGCGGATGTTGATGACCTTTCCCCTATGACATGACACATATGAGCTACATTGCCACTTTGACAATGAGATTTTTGACTACAAGTACCCTTTCCTTTACTGTTGTGTCATCCCTTAGCACAGTGTTGGGCACGTATGAAAGCTTAGCAGCATTCTGCTGTACAAGCCAAAAAATCTATGCAAAGATGTCAAGTTATCTAGTACAATGCTCGCCTCTCATGTAAGTCAGCAAAGCAGGCAAATAATTCTTGCTCACTTAGTTATATGACGGATGGAGATGGAAGATACTGAAAATGAGCAATTGAGGAAAAAGATTATTATATATTGTGAAATTCCCCCCGAAATGTGAGGGCTAGAAGCACTACCAACCCCCTGGGAAGCCGTAAGCCAATGCAGAGGATTTTGAATAATCTTTGGAAGTCCCTTCCAAAAAACGTTAAGATTTTGAAGGAAGATAGAGAGAAGCTGGAGTGGGGAGGCAAGTCAGTATATTCGTGATATATCATTCTTTTCAGTTTTAACATTGCTAAAATTAGTTGATTGATGTATAGTCATGCTGAGTTCTACGTGAGTAAATGCAGGATAAACCATGTGATGTGATCCCCTCAGATTTCACAAGCAAAGCCTGGCTGAGCCAACAAAACACCCCGAGAGGAGGTGTCCAAGGAACACCTTCATGGAATTTGAAGTCGTGCTGGGACGTCAACTCCAAATGCTTAAATCCTGAGGGGTTGTCTACACTATGGACTGCTGCATAGTGTAGAGTTACCCACGTTCGCTTTAAACAACCTACCTCAGGGCACAAGGCAGGCTAGCTCTGGCAGGCCAGAGCTTTGTCCAGGCTGAGAAATACTCTGCGGAGAAGCAGGCTCCCACCGAGCTCTGTGCTCTTTCAGGTAGAGTGCTTCCAATAACTCAAATGGCGTGTTCAAAGCTCAGCACTCTACTTGCACAGATACCTGTCTCAGGTCCTAAATGCATGTAGCTTTGACCTTGCTGAACACTTTTCCTAGTAGTGGTGTGCTTAAAGTACAACATCTGAGCCAAACTGCGGGTAAATTAATTACAACACATCTCTCCAAAGGTAGGAAGAAGTTTACTCTAGAGACCCTTGTATTAATTGACACAAGAAAGTATCGTCGCCTGACTCATACTAATGAGGGATGGAGTTTGCTTGCTTAGCCTCCTCTGAGAAGACCGGTCCTAACCTGATAAAATCTGTGCTTCCCCCTTCCCAATCTCAGCATCTCAGTCGGCTGCTTCCTGCCGCAGAGCAGCCGTGGTGCCGAGCTGGGCCACGTATCCCGCCTTACGATCGCAGCGTGTCTTTCCTTGCCTGCTCGGTAGGCTGTGTGGGCTCACAACATATTTTGAAGTCCTGCCTGGAAGGGTGCAAATTTTTGTGATGTCTTGATAAGTGGATGGTTTTTTTGGTGTTTAAGTTCAGAAGGTGACAACATATAAGAACAAAGAAAATGTCAATAGAAAAGCTGATTGGTAGAGACTGAATAAACTGATCTGGACATGCTGGTCTTCTATTACAGCTATTTCAGCCCCAGATCCTCACCTAGCGCAGATTAACACAGCTCCATAGAAACCAGTAGGATGCCACTGATTTACACCAGCTAAGTAGCCAGCCTGAGACATTACTAATTCTGGGTAACACAATCCCCTACAATGCTTAGCACCTTCAATATGGTAAGGTATTTAGAACTGCAGCCACATTTGCTTTTTCCCCTTAATATCCTCTTGTTTTTCTCACTCATATTCTGCCCTTTGCCCCTGCCACACAACGTACGTGGTAGTAAACAAGAGACTGGCTGACTTACTGGCGTGGCTGAAAGACGTACCCCACAGTGAACACATTCGAAAGAAGCACTTGATGACATATCTTTGTTAAGGGTGAAAAAGGTGGCTATTGAACCCTGACTTCTCCACCTCAGCTGTGTTGGTTAGCTCAAGGAGATAGTCCCTGTGTAGGGCCTATTTTCCCAATACCTGCTGGCCACCTGGAGCTGGAGGTGCTGTGTTTCAGTTTCTGCATGTTGCCAGTAAGAGTATAAATAGAGCAAATATATATCCGTTTTAGTACTCCACTCTGTATTATATATCAGTGGAGATATATCTGTGTTTCCTGTCTAATGAAGCATATGATCTTGTGTGGTTTGAGGGTGACTCACCGAGCTTTGCTATTCTGTCAGACACTAAAGGTGCTAAAAGTGAGGATTTTGTTCATCCTGCATTTCCACTGCACTGAATTGCTTGAAGCATTGACTGCCTGTCTTTTTATTTTAATAGATTTTTCGGAGACCTGTGGACTGAAACCTCTAGGTGCAAGAAGTTGTCTTGGGAAATACAGATATAACCTGTTTGTTATCTTGGTTATTATAATTTACAATATAAGAGTACCAAAAAAGGTCAGTTCCACATTTGCTGTGATATAATAAGGCTATATAAACAGGAAAGCACCCCCCTTCTCCAGGTCACAAAGCAGGATTCATTTTACTAAGTTTTAATCACCCAGATCTTACGTGTCCAGTTTAAGCTCCTTGCCTAGGATGCCTTTACAGTTAACAGAGAGAAAAAGGAGGAATGAGTCACTTTGTGGAGCTGCTTATTTCTCATCCTCACCCTTACACAATAACATCCCCTGAATGTGTGTACGACTCTCTGGTGACTGTCAAACAGCTTAGACGGTGTAAACGCAGTGCCTAAGTTTTAGTTGCTTATATCTATACACCCATACTACACAAACGTCAGCTCTTATAACTCCATATCACCTGATTTTTTTTCCTCACTCCAAGGCAAAGTATGAGCATGACTTTCCTTGCAGTATCATATGGCTCGTGTGCGCTCTCCGGAATCAAACAGCAGTTGTCTAGGGGACAAATAAGAAATGATCACGCCACCAAGTCCCCCTTTTCCTGCAGTGTTGTAAGCACCCACTGTTTTGGAAGAAGCCTTTTCTCTGACCTCTGCTGGCTTTGGGTCAGCCACTCACTAAGCTAAGTGGGGAAGAGGATTACTGAATTTCAGAAAAATACAAAGGAGACTATATACAAGGTTTTAAAAATGTCTCTTATCAACACATCTGCTTTAGAGAAGCTTCCGTTTGTCCAAGTGATTACTTTAAGTTCAGAGAGGTGTGCAGAATAGTTTTTAAAAGGCAGCTGGGTTTAGGAAAATAAGCCGATGATTCTTTCACAGGGAACATCAAACCAGTACTACTCAGCCAGCAGAGAGCACAGACGTATAGTTAATGGTGAAATAGCTGATTTCAGATTTTAATATCAAATCCCCTCAGTGCAAAGTTTTGCACAGAGATTTTAAAAAAAAAAACAAGTGATATTTTTAGCAAGTATCTTAATTGCTGAAAAAAGTAAATACACTGAGTGACTGGCTTTGGAAAGAAAAGCAAAAAAAAGGAAACATTACAAAATTCTAATGGTTTTATCTTC